ATGAAGAAATGCTTGCAATAGTTGGCCATTGTTGTTAAGTGCCCTCAAGTCAATTCCAACTCACAGCAAAGGGGAGCAGCTGGTGGGTTAGGGAGAGGTAAATCAAAACAACAATGAGATAATCACTTTACTCCAGAGTTAATAACAATGTTCCAAAACACAGAAAACAGCAAATGCTGACGAGGGTGTGAGAGAGTGGGATCCTCCTACACAACTGGTGGGACTGTAAAGTGGTGCCGGCATGCTGCTGTGGAAAACAATATGGCGCTCTCTCAAAAAGTTGGAAATGGAAATACCATATAACCCAGCAGCCCCTCTACTTGGCATACAGCCTCAAGAAATAAGAGCTGTGACACAATTAGATGTGTACACACCCATGTGCATTGTAGCACTGTTCACAGTAGCAAAACGATGGAGACAGTCTTAATGTCCATCACCAGAAGAATGAGGAAACAAACTTTGTACTACACACAGTGGAATATTGCACAACATTAAAGAATAGCAAAGACTCTGCAAAGCCCTTCACAACATGAATGAACCTGGAGGACATTATGCCAAGTGAAATTTGTCAATCACAAAAAGGCTAATATTGCAAGATATCACTGTTGTAAAAAGGTAGGGAAGTATTTTCTTGCTAAATGAATTCTATGATGGCTACAGGCGGGTGGCAGGGGAGGGAAAAATAAAGTGAATAGAGGTAAATACTGTTACTGGTACTGGAATGAGCTGCAATCATTGTAATGACATGAAGTGTAAAATTTGTTGAATGGGGGAGTGATGAATTTACATTCCTCTCAATTTACAATAAGAAGTTAAAAGAAATTTTTTTTTTTTAAGCAATGCAAAATGTTAAATCCTCAGGGACTGGGATAAGGTTGCTACAGCAGGCCCCAGCATAAGTTCCCCGTAAGAGTTGAATGCTCATGGCATGTGCCCAGGCAGGGGGAGGGGAGGGCTCCAGGCTGCTGAGCACACACTAGTCTGGACTCATTCCCCACCATCCAAAGATCCTCCACCTACAGCTCAGAATGATGCTGTGTCTTCTGGACACCACATTAGTTAGCATTGAGTTTTTGTTAAATGAGTGACAACTAGACCAATAGATCATATAGTAAACGCAGAAAACATTGTCCAGGATTTTATTTTACTTGGATCCACAATCAGTGCTTATGGAAGCAGCAGTCAAGAAATCAAATTTGCATTGGACAAATATGCTGGAAACAGATTTTAACACTCTTTAAGTGTTAAAGAGCAAAGATGTCACTTTGAGGACTAAAATGCACCTAATCCAAATCATGACATTTTCAATTACCTTATCTGCATGTGAAAGCTGGACAGTAAATAAGGAAGACCAGAGAAGAATTGATGCCTTTGAGTTATGGTGTTAGGGAAGAATGTTGAAAGTACCATGGGCTGCTGGAAAAACAAACAGATCTATTTTGGAAGAAAATATAGCCGTATTGCTCTTTAGAAGCAACAATGGGGAGACTTCTTGTTGTTAAGTGCTTTTGAATCAGTTACGGCCATAGTTGACCCTATACACAACACATGGTCCTGTGCCATCCTCATAACTAAAGTACAAGAAATGAAGTCTCCCCATCTTCACTTCTAAGGAGTATTTCCAGCTGTACTTCTCCAAGACAGACTTGTTTGGTTTTTGGCAGTCCTACTTTCTTCACCAACACCATAATTCAAATGCATTGATTGTTCTTCGGTCTTCCTTATAAGTTTTCCAACTTTCACATGCATATGAGGCTATTGAAAATACCATGGCTTCAGTCAGGCACACCTTGGAGAAACTAGTCCCTTGTCTGGCAAAGTAGTTAAGTCCCAACTCTCAGCAACCCTGTGTAGCGTTTCCAAGGAGGAGCTGATGGGTTTGAACCACCAACCTTGCAGTTAGCAATACTTTGCTTATTCTATAGCACCACACCAAGACTCCTGGTAAGGTAGAGTGTTGACAAAAAAAAAAACAAAAAAAAACAAGGAAGACCCTCAACAGAAAGACTGACACAGTGACCGTAACATAGTCTCAAACGTAACAATTGTGAGGAAAGCACTATTTCCTTCTGTCATATATGGAGTCTCTATGAGTTGGAATCAACTCATTGGTACCTAACCACAAGACACTTTGGAAATTATTTACCAATTCTTGCTAAGATGATGGCCCAGGGAGTCAGAGGGAGTATGCTTCCTAGAATTGATTCAATGTGGGGATTCTGATTTAGAAGGATTAAAACCCACAAAAGGCTAATGGGAAGATGTACATTCATTTACAACTGGAAATGTAACCACAAGTGAACCAAATGTGTCAGTTTGACCTAGCATATTATCTCTGTGTATGAAAGTGACATGGGAAGCAGGAATATAAGGAGGTTTCTTGATGAGGACAGGCTCAGGAGGTTAATGAGATGAATCAAATGTCAAAGCTTTATTGATTATCTGTTCCTATGTAACAAATTACTCCAAAACTCAGCAACTTAAAGCAACAAAACATTTATTTTCTGAGTTTCCGTGGGTCAGGAATCGATCTGTACACCTCTGGTGTGGTCTCCCTCAAGACTGAAATCAACGTTATTGACAGGGCTGCAATCCCTTCTGGGTGCCACCTCGGTTGAAACCCCTTCTAAGCTTACTGTGGCTGCTGACAGGTGACATTTGTTTCCTAGGGCAGCTGTAACAAAATACCACTAAGTGGGTGACTTAAAATGACACAACTACATTATCTCACAGTTCTGGAAGCTAGAAATCAAAATCCAGGGTTGGACTTAAGAACCTCATGTTAACTGGTAACTTCAAAGACCCAGTTTCCAAACAGGGTCACATCCACAGATGCCAGAGGTTACGGCTTCAACAGAAAGTTCTGGGAAACACAAGCAATTCAGTCCATAACAGCGGGTCTAAGATCCTCCCTTTCTGTTGGCAGAGACATCAGTCTTTGCCATATGGGCCTTTCCATAGAGTTTCTCCATAGAGCATAAGGTACCCTGGTGATGTAATAGGTAAGCTACTCGTTGAAAGATTGGCAGTTTGAACCCTTATAGCCATTCTACAAGTGATCTGCTGCTGTGTAATGTATGTAATGTGTGACTCTATCATACGGGGTCACTGAGAATCAGCTCAAGGGCACACAACAATAGCACTCAGACCATGGCAGCTAGCTTCCCTCAGAGTGGGGGTGAGTGAGAAAGGGAATCAAATGTAACCTAATCTCAGAAATGACATCTACAGCTCTTGTCATAATTTGTTCTCTAGAGGCGGGTCACTACGTCTAATCTGCACTCAGGGGGAGGAGACTATGCAAGAGGATTAATACCCACATGTAGGGATCATTGGAGGTCATTTTAGAGGTTGCCCACCACATGTGGCTCCCTAGATCTATTCCAAAACAAAGTGTCTACGGAGACCTCAGACTCCTGTTGGCATGGTGGGCTGTTTTCCCCGAAATGCTGCTAGACATGGGCAACATTAAGACTTTTTCCTTCACCCTTTATGTACTTTGAGCCCAAGGTTGCTATATTGGGCCCCTGGATGAGGTTCATGGACGGAAACTGAAGATGTGTGCAGAATTTACATGGGTGTTTTTGAGCATTTTCTAGAGGCAGGAAAGTCTGTAAGTGCCTTGATAATCTATAATGGCCTGTGGTGCTGTAGGATAAGCACTGGACTGTGAACCAAAACGTCATTGGTTCAAACCCACCAGCTGTTCCTTGGAAACGCGGTACAGAGTCACTGTGAATCAGAATTGACTCAACAGCACCTAATAAAAGCAATATTCTAAGTTGACCTCGAACTTTCAGTTCAGTGTTCATTCAAACATAGTACCATAGAGTTGATTAACCATCATCAATAACCAATTAATTGATCAATTACAATCACATTTAACTTGTCTTCCCTGAGGTGGTTCCCAGGTCACAAGGTCTGCACTTTGGCTATTTCCAGGCTCTTAGATCACACATTTATGCTAAAGATCTAGTTCCAGAAGTAAGCCCAGAAAATGCCTTTCAGGAAGGAATCCAGTACCGAGTCCACATTCCTGTGAGAAACAATGGTAAGGCATTGTGGCTCTCTAGAAGTGTAGTTTATGAGAGAAGAGAGCCAGTGCCTTCAAAACTGGAGTGCTGCCCGCAGCAGCCTGCTGACTGAGGCAAGGAGTAAGAGCCAAACGCTTAATAGTGAGGAAAAGCCAAAAAGCAGAAGTGACGTGTATGTGGCCACTGTGTTTAGGGATGAGTAATGATGCCTTCCTAACTGAACAGTTAACGTTAACGATGGTCCAGAATCATTTGCGGGGGGAGGGAGTTCAACTGTACTCACCATTTCTGCTTCCTTCTGCCTATAAGTTAATAGTAGAATCTTAGAAGAATTTTCATCCAAAGTCGTTAAATAAAAAATATACACAAAGCATCCATACTTAAAGGGAATGAACAGCTACCAATTTTTTGGGACAATTTCTTCACATGGAACACATCACCTTATAAAACCCCCCTTAAAAATAAGGCATTGAACAACTTCATTCACTTCATACTGAAAAGTAAAAATAAATAAAAATAAGGCATTAACCATGGATGTTTTTCTCTTTTATGCATGTGATTCTTTGTTGACCTCCCTAATGTTGTGTGTATGACTGTAAATATATGAGGAATCTTCAAAGAGTTTGTGGAAAAATGGAATTAAAAGATCATGGAATTTTTCCAAGAACTTTTTGCGGTCCCCTTGTATATGTGAAACATTCGTAATTTAAACATTTTTGTTGTATATAATTAATATCTCCCTGGGCTTTTGGATAAGAGGAAAATATCTGGCTATCTTTTCGATAGACGCTAAGACCATCTGATATTCATTGCAACAGTTTTTCTTCAGATGATAGTGTACCTAGATATCTCCCCCTCACTCTCCCATCCCAAATATATAACTTAGTAGTGAGGAAGAGATTGCAGAGTACTCAAGGTTCAGAAGCTGAAGATTGAGGTGCTAACCGTGATCTCTGCTCCCCACAGGAATTGGTGGAGCCCTCTGCGGAGAAGGTGCCAGGGTCTGTGGCCTGTGGAGCGGAGAGCCCCCTGGATGACATACGCCTCAGTGAATCAGATAAGACAGCTGTCCTCACCTTGATAAGAGAAGAGGTAACGTGTTTCTTGTTCTGTCTGCTTATCCCTCTTATTTCTTTGTCTAGTCCATGTGGCTGGGAGTAGATTTCATCTCTGTTGGCTTGAGTTACCCCAGGCTGGATTTCCTGCAACTTGTTTTAGTGTCTGAACAGACTCCCTGTAAAGTCCAGCCTTGCTGCTGGAATTAAAATGTTCAGGTGCCCAGAGAAAACAGTTGATGCTCTGAAGCAGTCTTAATGGCTTTTGAAGTCTTAAAGATCTAGTTTTGCCACATTGACTCACATGCATAATGAAATCAGTGTCTTCGTGTTACTGAGAATATATGATCATGCCTAAGGGGTCCTGAAATTCTAGATTTGCAGTAATGTAAAAATATTGCCTACTTTCATCCATGCTGTAAAGGGTCGCTATGAGTCTGAACCAACTCCATGGCACATCACCACCAGTACCATAATTAAATATAATATAAACATGTGTTGTGGGTTAATGTGCCAGACTGCAAAGCCGTTTGAACTTCATAGTCTGCAGTTCAAGCTCACCAGCTGCTCCTTGGAAACCCTATACAGGGTCACTATGGAGCGGAATCAATTCAACGGCACTTAACAACAACACAATAATTAAACAGTCCAACTCTTGAATTCTCATATAATGTCTTTTGAACAGCCTCTGTTCGGCATAGATCACTGATAGGCATTTCCAATCGTGATTCAAAAAACATAGACACTGTTTCAGGGTTGCTGATCAGATATCACTGTCTCCCATTGTGTTCCTATGCTATGTTTTACGTGTGGTTTGTCTTTTTCTTGATGAGTCCACCTGTTCTTAGAAGGTCATTTCTTAGCTGTTTTATTTTTCCAATATGTTGAGAATAGGTAAGTCCCTCTGATGGGTCTCTGAAAGCTTTATAAAATTGCACTAGGTTGGTAATGAGGGTGTCAGCTACTCCAGTTGTCAGTACTTAGGCACATTGAGGAGGCCCCTGACATTTTAGAAATGAGGGAAATAACAGTGTCTTCCTCCTAAAAGTTAAGGAGCTGACCCCTAATGTATCAAAGCAAAGATGTGCCTTGTTGCCTGAAGCTAACAGGTTCCTAAGATCCTGATCAGAGGCACCAAAATAAAGAACATGTGAGTCAGAGGGAAACATAGCCAGGGAAGTACAGTAACAGTAGAATTGTGGAGGCAATTGTGGCAGGGCCCAGCCAAGCCCTGCAGGGGAAATAGAGTTTGAGGTTATCTTAGAGTTCTCTAGTGAAACATACATGTGTACATACAGAGATTTACTGCAAGGGATTTTGGCTAATGGGATTGTGGGGGATTGGCAAATCCAAAATCCAGAGGTCAGGATTCTGTGGGTTTATACCTTCAAGGTCCATAGGTCAGGTGACAGGAAGGGTATGCAGTTGAGGAACAGAGAGAGAGAGTGAATTTTACCAAAATATATTTATATGGTCTGGAAGAATACTATACCCTAATGAACTCCCTTATCAACTGGTTGATGGATTATGTTATATAAGATGATTACATTATGAAGGTGTGATTATATTACATTGGACTAGCTTGCATTATGGGACAGCAAGTAGTCTAGTGTTTGGCCAAACTACTGGGAACCATAACCTAGCCAAGCTGACACATAAAGTGAACCTTCACACCAAGCAGTTAGAAATCTCTACAGAAAAAGAATGCTGGTCACATCAGCTCTCTCATTCTGATCTTGTGATACTTTTATTTCTCATCATAAATAAAATTGGTGCTCTGGTAACTGCTATGATTATGTTACTTTGGTTGCTTTGTTTTTTAATTTAAGGTTTTTATTGTGGATTGAGTGAAAGTTTACAGGACACATCATCAGTTTCACATTCAACAATTCATATAACTTGTTTCATTACATTGATTATAATCCCCTCCATAGACCATCAGTTAAA